CACACACACACACACACACACACACACACACACACACACACACACACCCTGGCCAGGACCTCACTAAGCAGCTCTCCATCTTGATTGATAAGCTCCACTAAGGACACCAAATCTTAGATTAGAAGGTTACTTGGAGAACATAGAATTAGGGCAAAGGGAATTGACTTCCAAGTAATATTTCTAACAAGCTAAGGGAATCTGATGAATTACAACAAAGACCAAATGTAACAGCTATTAAGGCTCTACTATATACAAGTTGTACAATCCCTGCCTTTAAGGAGAAGAAACAGTTTTTATCTTCAAGGAGTTTATAGGAGGCTAGGAACAATGTCGTTTTAATACTCAATATTACTGAAATACATTAGAGAGTAACAACAAAAAAAGTAATATGTGAGGTCTTAGAGGAATTAACTGCAGGTTTCAGTAAAATCTTCTTGGAAAAGGTGACATTTGACTTGAGTTTTAAAGTATGAGGTTTTTCACAGTAATTTCATATGGAAGATGGGCATTAAAATTACAGGGAATAGTGTGAATAACAGAATGGAGTACAGTCAATGTTCCAGGGGAAGAGAGTAGGCCAGCTTGGCTGGAGTGTAGAGTACATGGAGGATAGTATCTAAAGTTGAAAAGGCAAGATAGTACATTGAATTCTAGGCAGAGGAATTTGATGGGCACTAAATGTGCATTCCCATTCTCCTTTTCATAGCCTCTATGAGAGATATAATCTTTCTGCTTGGACTGGTCATTGCACAGTCTCTCTTCTTATTCTTAATTTCCATTTGTTTTGCATTTATAATTGAAGATAATTTTTCATTGATTAGAGTTTGGCTATTTCCTAATGACATGTAGGGAAACCTCCATAAACTTATTTGTAAACATTCTCCAAATCACTGCAAAAAGGTTTTCTTCTTAGGTTTCCTGCAAATACTGAATAATGAATGATGCATAAATTCCGATTGGCTTTTCTCACAAGAATGGTGTTACTTCTTGACCTTGTACCTTGTTCATGGGCTTCATCTTACTTTGGGACTCATAATCCTTTGCCCAGTGAATATAGTGGCCCAAGAAAATTTTTATTCACCCCATTAAAAATCCTACAATTGATAGAAACTTAAAAAAAACCCAGGAAATAATGTAAGATGAATACCATCCACTCAAAACTTTTAGAACCATTAAGACATTTTTCAGGGTTGATCATTTATACTTCCCGCTTTCTGAGGGACTCAGTCCCTTTTAAAATGGTGAAAAGGCTTTAGAAATCCACTTACTTTCAGGACTAGGTAGCAAGGAACCTTTTGCTCTTGTTAGGTTCTCTCGTAGCAGATGATTACAGATTTAGAGCTGGAAGAATCCTTGAAGGTATCAAGTCTAACAACTTCATTTTGGAAGCCCCCAAAAGTCAAGTGATTATCCCAGGACAACACAATTAGTGTCTAAAGTGAGATTTGAACCTAGGTCTTCCTAAAAACAAGTCCTGTGCTATACATTAAAACCAGTCTAATTTTCAGAGGCTAAAGGAGCAGCTAGGTGGTACAGTGGATAGAGCACTGGCCTAGAGTCGGGAAGATCTGAGTTCAGATCCTACCTCTGACACTTACTAACTGTGTGACCCTGGGCAACTGACTTACCCCCTAGTTGTCCCAGTTTCCCATCTGTAAAATGGGGAAACTTGAGACAATACTGTTCCCCCCATAGATCCTGTGGGAACGGTAACTCAAGACCTAAAAATGATTAATGCATACATCATTTTCCTCATTCCAAACACAAACTTCTGTTTGTGTGCTGACTCTTCTATCTCTAGCCTGCTCTGTTTGTTTGGCTCCAGCCACCCAGAAGTTAGAGGCTGGTTTTGGTCCAATTGACAGGAACTTGGGCTAGGCCCCCAAGGATTAGCAGGATTTAGATCAAGTCTTTTGGGAAAACAACTCCTCAAATCCTGCCTGGTAAAATTACAGGGCCAGCTACATGTCTAGTGGTCAGGAGAGGCAGACTATGCAGAAAGGAGCCCAAACGGCAACTGATGATAGATGGAAAACATGTATATGTATAGATACACACACACACACACACACACACACACACGCACATACACATATAGAGAAATAGATATAGCTAGAAATATACACACACACATATGTACAGGTAGATAGAAAAATAGACAGGTAGATAGATCGATAGATGACATAGCATAAGGAGGTGTGTGCGTGTGCGTGTGTGTGTGTGTGTGTGTGTGCTTATACCACCATGAGACGATAAATATAGCAAACAAATGTCCAACTTTTTCCTTCTCACCACCTGTCTTATCATCCTTGGTTAAGTTGGGGATGGTGAATGGGCTGCCAAGTATTGAGACATAAGGTGCAAGCTTCCTCTCTCTCTTTCTCTCTCTCCCTCTCTTCCCCCCTCCTTCCCGCCTTCCCTCCCTCTCTCTCTCTCTCTCCCTCTCTCCCCCCACCACCTTTCCCTCCTCTCCTTTCCTGTACTGCCTCTGCTTTCTCCTCCCTTTCTCTTAATTTTGCTTTCTCACTCCCTTTCTCCCTCTCTCCTTCTTTCTTCCCACCCTCTCCCTTCATCCATCTTTCTTCCTCCTGTTTCACTTACTTTTTAAATTTTTATTTATTTATTTATTTTGGTAAGGCAATTGGGGTTAAGTGACTTGCCCAGGGTCACATAGCTAGTAAGTGTTAACTGTCTGAGGCTGAATTTGAACTCAGGTCCTCCTGACTCTGGACTCCAAAGTGGGATCTCTATCCACTGTGCCACGTAGCTGCCACCTCATTACATCCCACCCCCTGTTTCACTTTACTTTCCCACTCCTTCCTTCTCTCTTTCCTCTTCTTCTTTCCTTCTTTCCAGTCACTTTCTCTCATCTCTTCCCCTTTCCTGTCCTGCTCCTCCTTTTCTATCTTTTTTTCCCTTTCTCTCACTTTTTTCTCCCTTGCTCTCTCCCCCTTCCTCCTTTTGCTTTACCTCTCCTTTCATCTTTCTTCTTTCTTACTTTCTCCCTCCCTCCCTCTCCCTCCCTCTTCTTCCTCCTCTGTCTTTCTCCTTACTCTCTCCCTTCATCTGTCTTTCTCTCTTCTCTCTTACTTTCTCCCTCCCTCCCTCCCCCTCCCTCCCCCTTCTCCTCCCCACTTTCTCGGCCCCCACTTCTCTCCTCCCCACCCTCTCCGCCACCCTTCTCGCCCCGCCCCTCCCCTGCCCTCCCCTCACTGGGCGGTTGACAGTAGAGGGCGGGAGAGGAGTGTGGGCGCGGCGGGGCTCCTCGCCTCGTTCTCGAGCCAGGCTCGGGGGCTGGCTCCCCGGCTCCCCGCGGCGCCGGCGTAGGCGTGGGGGAGGGGGCAGCGCGCGCAGGACGCAGGGCCCAGGCGGTGGCGGCGCGGGAGGGCGCGCGGCGGCCTCATTTCCTCGCGCACACAGGAAGTGGCCGTTATTCCGGAGGGCGAGGCGGCCGAGGCTGGGGGTGGCGCGAGGAGCGGGGGGGGAGTGGGGAGGAGGAGGCGGAGGAAGTGGCGCCTCCGGCCCCGCGGCGGGGGCTCTACAGCAGCCGCAGCCGCAGCCGCAGCCGCCGGTTCCGAGGCGCCCCGCGCGCCCGCTCGCAGGCTCCGCCGCTCGGCCTCGGGGCATGTCCTCGCCGTCCTCGCGCTCCGCAGGCTGGGGTGAGTACCGCGCTCCGCTCCCGCGGGCTGACAGTCCTGCTGCAGGCTCTGCACACACGGACTGACTGCGGGCTGGCCCCGGTAGCGCGGAGCCCAGGCTGGGGGCGTGCGTGCCCGGGCTCTGCCTCTGCCCTCTCTTCTCTTTAAGACTAACTTTATTTTATTTTACTTTTGCAATGGAAAAGCATTCATTTTCTCCTTCCCTCCTCCGAAATGATTTATGCTGCGGAGTCATTTGGAAAGGGCTTGGGCTCCTCCGAGGAGGGCTGGGCTGGAGAGCAGCGGGGCTGCCAGCAGAGGAGTGGTTTTTGCTTGCGTGTTAGTGTTTCTTTCCTATCGCTAGGCTTTCCTCCCCACACTCTCCCTTTGCCACACTTTTGCAAGTTACTTGGTGATAAACTGTTACTGCTACGAAAAACATTTTGCTTTTCGTTGAATACAATGTTGTATTCTTTTCTGAACGATCCAAACCCAGAAACTATACATGAACAGTTAGTTAAAAATAGCTTATTTCAGAGTTTGGAGGGTTCCTCCCCCACTTTTTTTTTTTTTTTTTAAGCGTTGAAGACATTTGTTGAAATTAGCCGGGGGAGAGAAGAGAAAACTTTTGTGTGTGTACATCCAGAATTAAGTCCTACTCCAAAGTCTTAGCCCTTCTTGGCGTGGAGGACACCTAGGTTGTCCAGAGCGAAGCTGGTTAGGTCCGAAGCCTCCTTCTGATTGGTGTAGAGGGGGACCCTGGTTTCTTGGGAGACCCTTAGTGGCTAATTGGTCCTTCTAAAGCTGGTTCGCTGTCCAGAGTGTGGCTCCTGGTTGGTGGAATGTTTGTGTTTGGACGATCATCCTAGCAATGTCGTTTAGCGGTTCATCACTAGGTTTACTGCAGGATGGCCTCGGCAAGTATTGAAGCTCTTTCAGTACGTCTTTGAGAGACTATGAATTGATGGAGGCAGATAAGTAGCATAGCAGATTGAGCTCTGATCTGGGCCATTCACTTAACACCTCTCTGCCAGAGTTTCCTTTTTCGTTAAAATGGGGATAATCCATTGTTTTGCCAAATCTTGTATTTTCTTATTCCACATCATCACTTAATTCTTTCTCTTCCTCATTTTGTGATAAACAAAGAGCTTTAAAAACCTTAAATTGTTAGTGTAAACGTTATTATTGTTGTTGTTGTTCTTGTATTACCTGTAATAGAGAATCACAAATTCTTCTTGTGAAGTAAGCTGTTTAAATTTAGGTGATGATGGAGCATCTTGCATTCGTGGTAAAATTAGGGATGTGGTAGGAATTGGAAGCCTGCTGTGGGTTTTTTTTTCTTAGTAATATCTTAAGCATCTGTATTTTAAAGTTTGATCTTATATTGATTATTACGGTCTAAATTTAAAATAATTGTGCAATGTGCATTTTAACTTTCTGATAACTGTTACAGTGGCTGTGTCTTACTTCTCGTGTACCAAGATGAATTTCATTTTCAGTCATGTTTTCTTTGTAGCATATTATTAAAACAATAACTCAGAAAGTGAAGAGGAAAGTTTATTTTCCTACATAAAGTAAAATGTGCGAGTATTTATGTTAGTCTGTTAATCACAGTCATTTATTTTGTACTTTATTTTAGTTCTCCTTAATTAGAATAGTGGACTGTGACTTGAAGGTCTTTCTGAGGGCTGCTTTCCACTATTTATTTGTGACTTAGAGAATGTTAACAATGATGAATAAGTAAGTATGGTATCATTTCCTAATCCAGGCCTAGCTCAAAGTTGTGTAAAACTGGGATATCCAAACTTTGGGTTTTATACCTCTATTAGTTAAAAAAAGAATTGAGTTTGCACTCCCAGTAAATGTGTGTGTATATGTGTATACATAGAATATTTTTGTGGTTGAGTCATTTTTCAGTCATGTCTGACTCAATAAACTCATTTGAGGTTTTCTTGGTAGAGAAACTGGAGTGGTTTGCCATTTCCTTCTCCAGCTCATTGTACAGATAAGGAAACTGAGGCAAACAGGAACTCAGGGAGATGAGTCTTTCCAACTTCAGGCCCAGCACTCTAGCCACTGTGCCCCCTAGCTGTTCCATATATATACATATGCATACATACACACACATACACAAATATACACACATATACACATATGCATATACACAAACACATGTCACATACATGTACTGCCATAACATGCAGCTATTAGGACACTATTGCACTAATCCAGGTGTGAGGTGATGAGAGCTTGAACTGATGTGATGGCTATGTGTAGGGAGGAAGAGATGTGGAAGTACAAATGACAAGATTTGGCAACTGAATGGGTATTTGGGGTGAGAGAGAGAGTGAGGAGTTGAAGATAATTCTGATGTTGCAAACCTGGATGAAAGAAAGGGTGGTGGAAAGTTTGGAAGAGGATTGAAGTGGGGAAGGAGAACTACTGAAGTCTGAAATGTAGATCACAACCTGTCCATGCCTGTTCAACCTATGAGACTCCAGCTAACACACCTAAAACAAAAAGGAGGAAGGATAGGGCTCTTATCACTCAGTGCCCAGAATTCAGAGCTTGTCGTCTAAGAAGCAGAGAATCCATCACAGCTGCTATATAGTGATCTGGAGGAAGGAGAGTGAGGATGGTGGGTGATGGTTTCCCAGTGGTACTTGTGGAGCTGGGGTTGTGGGTGCCTGGGTAGTGATTAGGTTAAAGCTGTCCTGAGGGGCAGAATCCCTCCTTAGAAGAGGGAGAGGAGGTTGGGAAGAGTTTACACAATGAAGGGCAGGGGCAGAGTTTTAAGTATTCAGGGACAAGGGCAAGTGTACTTGGGTTTGAGTTAAGCACCTATATTAGCTATGATAGGGAAGGATGGAATGTATAACCCATCTTGGTAACCTTCTTTGTTCAGGCCACAATTCCCTTGGGGCCTGGTCCCCACTGTAGAGACAGTTGGTCTAAAAATGGAAAAGAGGAAAGGGAGCAAGCATTTATTAAATGTCCACTATGTTCCAGGTGCTGTCTTAAGCACTTTACAAATATAGTTTCATTTGATCTTCACAGCAACCTTAAGAGGTAGGTGCTATTATTATTCCTATTTTACAGTTGAGAAAACTGAGGCAGACAACCATTTTATGGCTGAGGAAACTAAGGCAGACAGAACTTAAGTGACTTACTGAAGCTAGTATGTTTCAGACGTCAGATTTGAACTTAGCTCTTCCTGACTCCAGGCTCAGCCTTTGCCCACTAAAATTGGGATATAGCTTTTCTTTTCTTTCTTTCTTTCTTTCTTTCTTTCTTTCTTTCTTTCTTTCTTT